CGCATGCTTGTAGCCCAGGAAATATAACTGTGGGGGGAGGGAGAAAAGGTATCAGGGACGTAAATAAAATATCAGTCGTTGCGTAAGCCGTTCGTCTTCGCCACGGGATCGATACTATCGTCCAATATTGCGAGAACGCGGGTTCGGGCCGGGCCAGGCCGGCCTGGGCGCGGTGGGGACCGGACGAAACGACTTTCGAGGGGAATAAAAACATCGCGTTTGTCGATAGAGGTAATTTAGAGCGGGCGCGCGCGATCGTTATACCCGGTATAATTCACGAGCTGCTACGAATATATCGGTGCTCATACGGCACTCGTCGGGCTAAATTGGATTTTCGCCGTGTCGACGCCGGTGGGTTGGGGCCCGCTCTGTCCCCGGTCCTTCGGAACTCGCGGGACAACCCGTTCCCCGTTCGCCGGCCGTCGTCGGTGCCCCTCGCGGACGGGGCATCGACGATTCCGATAATTGCTACCGGCCGGATTTTAATTAATTCGTCGGAGTCCCGGTTGTCGCGCTCGTTAACGAGAAATTACGCGAATCGCGACGCGAGAAACCGCAGGCCTTTTAATCGGGAATCAACTGTCCTCTCCTCCCTGGTTAGCCGTACGTTCCGGCGCGATTGTTCGCGGAAATTCTTCGAATGCCTTACGTAATGGATCACCGGCGTTATCGCGAGGCCTGCGGAACATGGCGGACCTTACGACTCCTAGCTTCTCTACGACTAACGCGCCGCGAAAAAGGAGAACGAGTCGTTCTCCCGATACCCCGTCGAACGGTGCAGAGGTCAACCGTTTCCGGATATCGATGCGTCTGTTTTAAATTACAAGGATACGTGGGAAGCTGCTGCATGAATAAATGACGACACGAGAATCGGTTCGATGATAATTCGCTGGAAGGTCTGTACGCGATTCTTGTGGTTGGTTCCGATAAAGTGCAGATGGAATATTAACTGTCGGCGCTGGAGGCGGAATATTTAACAGTTTGAACTATAAATAAGGGCTGTGGGATGAATTAAAAAGCAGGATCCAAGCGACCGAAGTCGGCGTTACTGTGGTCAAGGGAATTTCTCCTTAACTCATTCTTTCCTACAATGGACCGTTTAGCAATTTAGATAAGGACAAACTTCCCCGAGGAATCGATTGCAAATGTTGTTCAATGACGAAGTAATTACTATAAGAAAATGTGCGACGTGTCGCGTGCATGTTCGTTTTGCAATGTTTTTGAACGAACGAGACAAAAAGAAAGAAAGGGCGGTCGGTGATGAGTGATTGATCAATTAAATCCTTACATTATGAGCGAATAGTCTTGTAGGAATTTTTATCCTTGAATCCTAAATATTCATCAGCACGCACGAGCGTTCGCGCGTCAAGCTGAATACATCAGCCGAACTGTTCTTCGTTCGTCTGACGAACAACTCTGAGCGTGTTTTCGGGTTGGCCCGGTGTTATACGGACGTGTCGCTTAGCTATGTGTCCGCAAGGTCCGCGGGTATGCATATGCATACGTATATGGGTCGCCTTATTAATGGACTAACGCTTGCCACGACACCCACGGGCAACAAAGTGGACAGCGCCGCGCGGAGCGCAACGCGTTGGCTCGTTTACCGGAAAACGTGTCGCGCCGGCCCGACCCGGCTCGACCCGCACCCCTGCAAACTAGGTGTGGCAGTTTTCTATGGCGATCAGAGCTTAACCGTATTTTCCTGGTGGCGGTGAACGGGTAAACCGCGTCATAGGAAATTTAGTCGATCGCCCGGCGACGTCGTTTGCCTCCAACGAACCGACGAATGTGAA